GTTAACAGCCGTAACATATAATAACAAAATGTAATCCATTGGATGAATTTCGGATGAATGAGATGGGAGAGTTTTCTCGTCATTGACTCTTCCCAATGCCAAATAATATTTTAAATTATATATATAACCTAATTATAAAATTTAATTAAATCGCTGTGATTAATTTATTCGATTTTAATGTAAATAAAAATAAAATTCAATTAAAGATGCCAAGTATTACAACAAACAATGAAAAAAGAAACAGTTATAGCTTAATAATCTAAGCATGTATTTGTGGGTAAATCTACATATATATCGAGTCATACTGAAATGATAAAAACATGTTGCATACAAATAGTATGTATGTAGAATAAAAAAAAAAAAAAAAAAAAAAAAATAAAAAAAAAAAGAAAGAATAAGAAAAGCGGAAAAGCGTATAACTTATCAACCACCGTTCGCTTTTCACATTTCTAGTTCAATGTAAATGTTTTATGTCCTTTGCTTTAAAGTTCTTTTGCATTTCGGTCTCGTTCTTGGTTTCAAGTTTTTTTTTATTTTTCCCCCTCCCTATTTTTTTTTTCTTGCTTTTTTTTTTAATGGCGCTACATATATATTTACGAGTTTTAGCTTTAAATCAAAAGAAAATATTTTTAGAGAATTCTTTGCATACATTTTAGAAGAAAACAAAAACACGGATCTCGAGCGACTTTTTTTTTGTTTTTCTTTCTTTTTTACTCTCCCTTAGCATTTATATGCTTTTTATGCTTTTATTAGAGATTTAATTTTTTTTTTTTTGTTCATTTGGCGTTTACACCAGTTTGCACCAGTTTTGCTAACGAACCTACGCGCACTATATATAGACTGGGAAAGATGGGAATATTTTCAATTTTTCTCATTGTTTTGTGTTTTATTTTTTTTTTTTCTCGCTTTTTTCTAAACACCCTTAAAAAACGTTCCGCTGACACTTTTGTTTAAAGCGAAATTCAAAAACATCGATTAGTTGGGATTTTTGTGCTTGTGCGTTTTTAGTTTGAAATGTGAAAGGAAGAAAAAAACATTTTTATTTTTTTTTTTTGCAAACAATGAACATAACGCCCTCTCAACCTTCAGCTATGTGAAAGCTATTTGTGCTTGCTCTTATGTTTGTGTTTTGTATTAGTAGTAGAAAATCCTTTACATTACGTTAGTTGAAAATGTGAACATTTTTTTTTTTTTTTTTTTTTTTTTTTGTTATTTATTTATTTATTTTCACCATTTATTCCTCTTCATATGCTAGACAACCATCCAGACAGTAGTCAGCGCTGTTAGTAGCTATTCAACAATTCCGTTCGAGTCTGACAGGTTTTCACCTTCATTTTTTGATGGATTTTTTCCATGCAGATACATATATATATATATATATATATATATATATATTTTATTTTTTTTCTAATTTCTCTTCTTTTTTTTCTTTTTTAGAAAATAAATACTTTTCTATAGATTCGAGTGTAGATTTTATAGTTATATGCACACTTTACACATGGTTCGTGTATATTTGCGTTTTTTTGATTTTTTTTTTTTTTTAACATTTTTACTCGTTCTGTTGACTATTGTGCATGTGCACATTTGTTGCTGTATGTGTACGCATATGCTTGTATATAAATATGTAAATATATTTAATGTTTAGTTGTGTGAGTCTATGAATTTGTTTTGATATCTAAAAACGAATTTAGAATTAGAAAAAAGAAAAAAAAAAAACTTTTCTAGGTTATGATTGCAATGACCTTGATTTAGTGTATTTGGTTGTTGTTGTTGTTGTTGTTGTGGTTGATGCCGTCATTGCAATATAGAAATTCGGTGTATTACTCTTTATTGCATAAAATCTAATGCCTATGAAGGAGACACCATGTGACAGACTATAAATTTTATTTGTTTTTTTTTTTTTTTTTTTTTTTTTGGTTTGTAAATTGCTGCACAAATAGGCTGTAAAACGTGGTTATCTCAACGTGCTTCTTGTAGCAGACAAACGACAACTTTCTATTTTCATTCTCAACTTTCTTTTTTTTGGATATGCCTGTTTCTCCTTTCTTTTTGAAATGTCCACAAAAACATCCATAAATATCCCAGACCATAAATATCATATGTAATATATAAAATATCCTATATATATGTTAATATCAGGTGGGACAATTAAGAAAAAAACAAAAAAAAACAAAAATATCATCGATTGTATAAAACAGCATGACATAGGATGAGCTAAGATTATTAGGGTAGGATGACATGAGATATTGTAGGACCGGGTACGATGGAATCGGGTGGAATTGGGAAAGAGAAAATGCAAAGAGGTGGCATGGAGATCGATAGGTTAGGATGGATAACCTTGTAAAAGCTGGGAAATGAATGGATAGGAAAGTAGGATATAGACTAGGAAGCTGTAGGAAGGCTTAGGATAGAAAGGCTTGGAATAGAAAGTTTTGGGATAGGTAGGGACAGGATAGAAAGGGGTGTGCTAGCTGACAAGAGGATACCAAAGAAAAGGATATGATAGGAAGGTATAGAATCAGAATGGGTAAGATTGGAAGCATAGGATAGAAAGCATTGGTTTCGAACGGACGGAGTAGCGAGGTATAGTGTAGGAAAGAAAAGACTAGAATGAGAGCTAAGGCGATAAAAATCTTAGGAAGGTACAGGGCAGGAATGAATAAGATAAAAGAGGTTAGGAAGAAATGGGTTAAGGACGAATACGATAAGAATGAACAGAGAGGGGAGGTATAGGCTGCGAAGGAATAAGATAGAAAGGCTGGAATGGGAAAAGTTGCAATAGGAAGGGACCACATGGTGACGGGATATCCAGGGATAGAATAGGATAAAAAAGGCTAGGGTGGGAGGGGACAAGACAGAAATTGTAGGATAAGAAGGCTTAGGACGATGATGGGTAAGAATGGGAAAAAATAGGAAACTATAGAGTGGGAAGGAATATAATAGGAGCGTATAAATTGGGAAGTATAAGCGGTGAAGCGATAGGATGGTAAGGCGAGGGTCAGCGAGTGCTGAGATAGGAGGGAATAGGATAGAAAGTATAGGACAAGAAGTTATGGGAGAGGAATGAATAAGATAAGAAAGGATAGGTTAGAAACACTTAGTATAGTATAAGTGGTATAGGTTAGGAATATGATAGAAAGTATCGGACAGGAAGTTATAGAAGGGGAGTGGATAACATGGGAAACGATAGTGTAGAACGATTTAGGATACGAACGGATAGGATAGAGTGATATAGGCTAGGAAGGGATACAATAGAAACGATTGAGATCAGAAGAGAAGTAGAGAGTTGAGTAGGATTGGAAGGAACAATAGCGGGGAAAAAGCGAAAGCCGCCGTTTCTTTTCTGCAAGAAGAAGGGAAGGAGTGCAGCAAAGTAGCACAAGGTGAGAAAGGGCAGTCAGCGAAAAGAGAAAGTAAGACTTTCAATTATAATAAGGGAGGTTCAAGTAAGATAACATATCAGCGGACTAAAGTGGTTAAAATAAAAAAACCGTAGAACACATTACATGTAGGATACCTTGGATGCATTACAATTAAAATAAAATGAATTAAAGTTGAAAAGCTTACTTTAATGCGGGATAACATAAGATAAACGTAATCTACGGTTGGCCATTGCATAATACACGTCTCTGTTTTTTCGCGTTCAGATCGAGGTAAAGCACATCAATCTTCCTATTTATTGTTTCTCGAAAAATCATATAAAACGGGCACACGGGAGACAGCATTCGCAAAGAGCATGAAGTCAATCAACTAAATTGTAATTTTATCGATTTAAAGAAAATAAGAGATAGTAAGAATGAGTTCATTAATTTGGAGACGGAGCCAAAATAACATATCTTTTTTAATAAACGCTTGAGAGTGATTATTAGAAGCATAAACTTTTATTAATAGTTGTCGTGCAAAAGAGAAACTTTTTTCGCTTCCTTCTAGAACCACTCCCACGTATTATTTACAAAATAAACTTTGAAGGCGATTAAAGAAAAAGCGCATCATTTAAATAAATTTAATTGCGAAACATGATAATGAACTTAAACATTAAAAAATTTATTTAATGTGAGGATATTAAAGCAAACAAAAGAAAAGAAAGAAGAAAAAAAAATCCGCACAAAGAAAGCTCTACGTTTTTAAACAAGTTTAATATTGCAAAGAACTCCTATCCAAAATAAAGGAAAAATTATGGAAGGTCGTCTAATTGAGTATCGACCAATAGGTGGAGGTTTAGATTATCATCATAACTCGCCATTGATTGGTGAAATACCGCCAGCTAGCGGCGAGTATTCGCATGCTGTTCATCGTTCGATTGATCAGTTGCGCAATAGTCTCAATGAACGAGTAACGCTGGGACCATTAAGTGTTTTCTCGAACACGGCCGATTTAAGGACGTCGGTGTTAAGTTACAGCAATCAGCCTTTACAACCCCATCAACAGCAACAACAACAACAGCACCATCCATCTAATCAGCACCAGTATCAATTGCAAGCTACCAACGCTGTATCAACTACATCGGGCACTAATGGCAACGCAGTTTCGAATAATTTAGAGGTATTGAGCAAAGGCTCGGCTAATTCTGTTGTTTGTTTGGAGGCAAAATTGGCTGATTCGACTAGTGGCGTAGTAAGCTCTACAATGCCAACGTCTTCTGGCGGTAGTAGCTCAAGTGGTAGTAATTCTCATATGAGAGGACGCAAATCACGAATTTATCCCAATCCAAATCAACATATTGTTGTCACTAGCAATAGTGTGGATAATGGAGGAACACGTCAACAGCATCGTCAACAGCAGCAACAACAAAGCGATAACAATTCGAATAATGGAATATCGTCGTCCACCTCCTCGCCGCACCATCACTTGATGGATATTAAAGATTCAAAGGTATTACCCAATGCGAACGAGTTAAAAATATCAAATTTTTCTTTTCGCTTATGCAGACAATGTTACCAAAACTGTGGCGTGATCCTTTCTATTTTTCATAATAATTAATAATTCTCTTTCGGTTACAGATCTTCACTTCAAAAGCAGATCTGCAATTGCACACGCAAATCCATATGCGCGAGGCGAAGCCGTACAAATGCACTCAATGTTCGAAAGCGTTCGCTAACTCGTCATATCTTTCCCAACATACCCGCATACATTTGGGCATCAAGCCATACCGTTGCGAGATTTGTCAGCGCAAATTCACCCAACTCTCGCATCTGCAACAGCACATACGTACTCATACCGGTGACAAGCCGTACAAGTGTCGACATCCTGGCTGTCAGAAAGCCTTCTCGCAACTTTCGAATCTACAATCGCATTCACGTTGTCATCAAACCGATAAACCGTATAAATGTAACTCTTGCTACAAATGCTTCTCCGATGAACCATCGCTGCTGGATCACATACCCAAGCATAAGGAGTCTAAACACCTAAAAACACATATTTGTCAATATTGCGGCAAATCGTATACGCAGGAAACATATCTGACCAAGCATATGCAAAAACATTCGGAACGCACAGATAAACGACCGCCCATAGTGGCCACAAATACAAGCGGAACGGTTAACGGGACAACAGTTAGCAATACTCAGGTAGGCGTGGGAGCGAATGTGAATACTAACAATGGTCCAACCGCGACAGGAGGAGCGGCGACGGGGGGAGGGGGAGTTGGAGTGCCTGGCTCTGGCTCTCAACATAATCGTAATAATTTAAGCTTGCCACCGGTCTCTATAGCACCCACCGATAATTCCTATTGGCCGAAAGTCAGCCCTGATTCGGCCGCCAATTTGACAGATGTCATGCATCAACAACCGCAACATCATCCTCATCACCAACAAAATCATACCGCGCAACAACAACAGCAGCAACACCACCATCAGCAACAGCAAGCTGCACAGCAACAGCAGCAGCCTCCCACGCAGCCATCCCAGCAGCAACAACCGCAACAACCAACCCATATGGATTACGGTCATCAGAATGGCGGCCCAGGTGGTCCCAACAATCAACACAACGATATGCAGAGTCATCATCGTATGAATGAGAATGGACGTGAAGATATCGGTAAATGGGATATGGTATTCAGAGTTTCGAATTTTTGTTCTTAATTTTGTGCGATTTTTTTTTTACAGTTTCCACACCTTCCACGGTGGGCCCTTACGACGCGTCAAGTATTACAAAAACCACTAGCAACTCAGCATTTACACCGATCAACTCGATGCCACCGCATTTAAACACTCTCTCCCATCATCCGATGGCCCAGCGGCCCTATCTGTACGATGCTATTAGTTTTCAAAATAAAAATGTCAACCAGAACAACGCCTCCAACAGCTTTCCGAATCAATTGATTTCATTGCATCAAATACGCAACTATGCTCATCAACCGACCGGTCTAACTATGGCCGGCGAACATTTGTTGGGCGTTAGCGTAGGTCCGGGTAAAGACAAAGGATAGCTATACTTTTAAACACTATCCTTAAGGCTAAGCGAACACGACATACGTATGTTAAGTTTTAGTCTTAATCGTATCGTTTACATTGTATTGTAGTTTAATTCTTTAATATTAAGTACCAAGTGTTCCGAGCTCTGATATAATTTGTGGTTCGCTCCCTTGTGGATAAAATTCTCTGCGTATTTACTCGCGTTATTATTGCTTGATTTGGCGTGATGTAAGTCGTCGAACGGGTAACGAAAATAGCAGCTCTTGTGTTGTGTAGATTACGGTGGGCGGGCCAAATTAAATTTAGGCACACAATTGCTAACATTATGATCGAAACTTTCCGCTCTACTTGTGTACAATAAGCAGAGCACAACTCATTTTCTTTTCAATAGTATCTTAATTTATCTGTTGTAGTAAGTCGATCGTTGTCCGTGGTGCATGGCTATCCTTCTCCGTTTAATTTTTTTACTCATCGCCGAAGAATGAGTCACATATTCATTTTGTCAAACAGCTTGCAACGCCTGAGAAGGTAGCTTCTGAGACCCCACAAAGTATATATGTATTCTTAAAATCAAGCTATCGAATGTAAATTTGGCAGAAACGTTGGAAGTCCTCGCACACAGGTTGATGTTGAAATTGGCAGCGCTTGATTCAAGGCCACGCCTGCAGTAACAGGTAAACCGAGAACACCTCTGCTTTCCAAATATAATAATTGGCTTATTACTCATAAACTGCTAATTAACTTAAGCAAATAAACTTACGAAAATTTAAGAGCAGCAAAGCTGTGTGGGAAAGATCGACCAAGCCGACACAACACTATACGCGGAGAAGGAAGCTTCAAAGACACCATCTTGCCCAGTTTCTAATTCGGACGGAAATATAAGCGTCCGCTTGTCTGTCCATCTGTCCGCCCACCCAACTGTGTAGTATCTGTGGAAGACACTCTCGTGTTCGGAAAAATAAAGATATCGTCTACGCTACGTCTGCAACGCCCACAGGCTTACACAACAAAAACTGTGAACACCTTCTCCCACCTTTCCCAGTTCTTCGTTTATATACATTGCACAAATTTCCACTTTTGTGCTGAAAATAGAAAAAATCAACTGCGTCCTCCCAATTTCGTAGAGGATGAAAATTCAATTCTTTTCCATTTTTGTAGTTGGTTATGGGTAGAAAAGATTCGATCAATTACGAAAATATAATTTTCTTACTTGTTAGCTTATTATGCCGAAATTTGGTCCACGTAAGAGTAATTTGACATCTGAGCTGCGCCGACCTGTTTGTCGCATCTCTCCCGTTAAAAAGCTGCCTGCGGAAGATAAACCTTTATATGGCATCAAAATCGATTAAATATGATCCACCTAACAGTAGTTTGATGTCCATGTTGTGTCGGTACATATTTCGAATAAAAGGTTCTAATGGAATGCAAACCTTCGTACGAAAGCAAATATTTTTATTGATTTTTATTTTAACTTAACAAAAAAAAAACATCAATTTTACGTTTGTATGACAAGGTCGGTTCTTCACTTTGAACGTCAGCAAGCGAAATGACGTGGAATGATCCAGTTGGGCCGACTATAATGTTTGAATTTATTTTCTTTATGTATTACAAGACTACTTATCTTTTACTTAAGTTTTTTATTCCTTCTAATTTTCTTTTTATTTTTTAAATTTTCCAAGTTTCTTTCATTGATTTCCCATTGGAGTAAAAAGAATTAAAATGAAAATTTTTTCAAATGAAATGCAAAAGAATTTACAATAATTGTAAGAGAGATGTGAAAAATTCAAAGAGTATATCCCAGGGCAAATTGGACTTTGGCCACATTTCGATGTTCGAAGTTTAGGCTGGAGAAAAGGAAACGGATTTCTTTTCTTCAGCGGATTATACTATAGATAGTTACGGCACGGAGCTCTTTTCAAATGAACCTATCACCGTAATTATTTGGTAAGCCGTGATTGGATCTATGAGCCTTCCAAAACAAAATAAAGATAAAACTACGTCTCATTTCATTCATTATACTGAAGCTGCCTGCACGCTGCTATGTAAACTTCTAGCTTATTTATAACGGTCCCTTTGTGGATCCTTCGTCCTGATAGAAATACTTACAAACAAACCTTTTGCGGAAAGAAGAAGCTTGTCTTAAATCTATTCTATCTGTTGCCTTCAAAGTGATTCCTCTCAAGTAAGCCAACGCTTTTGTCCAATTCTCGAAACAGATGCTATAGTCAATTTCCGGAAAAGGCCGTAAAAGCTTTCTGCGAGTTGAAACTTTGTCCCTGAGGTAATCTTTTGCGTTCAGGAACCAACCAGAACTTACATGGAGCTAAATCAGGTGAATACGGCGCTTGTGGAAAGGTGTTGAATTTCTAACAAACGGGTCTCGAAGAAATAAGTCCATTGTGTATTATTGTCACGTAAAAGCAAAGAGTTGTCTATCCACAATTCTGGCCTCTTTTTGCGAAAAGTTCCATGCAAACGAAGTAGAACACTTATGCAGTACTCCTTGTTATCAGGAAGGAATTCATAGTGCAGAGTACCACGATAAACGAAGAAATCGTTCTTTAAGTGGCTTTGGCGTTGCTTTTTCGGCTTTGGCTCACACCCATTCGTTTGATCGGGAGTTTGGGAGTCGTACGCATAAACCCAAGTCTCATCTCTCGTAATAATGCATTCCATGGCCGATTGGAAGTCAGATATCACTCTCCATAGGTTTTAACGCATTTTAATGTCCAGACATTTCGGGCCTGAATATTTTTTAAAATGTTTTCAACTGGTTTGAAATCCCAACAACGTCAGCAAGATCCTTTATTGTCCTTGAGATAGAGGCTGACGGTCGTCTCGGCCGTCTTTCACTTGTTTATGCCGGTTGTAAACATATCATTCAGACTAGGTATGCTCACCAAAGTGTCTCGGCAATATCCTGAACACAAAAAATTTCATTTCGCAAACAAATGCTAATCCAACTTCTTTGCCCAACAAAATCATTCACTGTAAAAATCAGAAGAAATACTTTTTGTTTCGTACAAAACCGAATCCAGCTCAAGCATTAATGGCGTTTATGATATGAAATTTGGTATCAATTTATAAAAAATATATTTCTGATATTTGATTCTGATATTGGTCTTCCCTTCCGAACACAGCATTAAATCAATTTTTGGAAGAAAAATATCTAATCATCAAACCATTTTTTTAACTACAAGTCTCTCAAATGCAAACTTAGGGAATATATGCGATTCTTGTTGTTCTGATATCTTCTTAATCGAAAGCGCTAATAGAACGACGGCTAGGACGGTGATTCGCTTCGATTCGATTTATTACCGCGCATTTTTGTCCTGGGCTGACTCTTTGTGTGAGATTAAAGCTTAGTATAAATAAATATAAATTAAGCAAAAAAAAAAAAAAAAGTTTCTCTAAGAAAAACTCAATAAAAGAAAAAAAAAATTATATAAATATAAAATTATTTTTAATCTATAAAAAAAAAACCTTTTGTAAATAAAAAACAATAAATGTGTCTTTAATTTATGTTTTAAGAAAAGCAAAAAAAAAAAAAAAGAAACAAAAAACAAAGAAAAAAAAAACCGAAAGAAAACCTAAATATAATTTCTCTATCAAATTAAATACAATAATAAAAAACTAATATTAATATAAATAGAAATAGAATTTCGTGCATAATTTCTGAAAGAAATTTAAAACACTTTAGACATCAGAGAAAAGAAAACCGAAATCAATTATTTTGGAATAGAATTTAATGAAAATTATTTGAAATATATTTTTCTTTAACTAAGACTGACTAGAAAAAAAATGCAAAAAAATTATGAAAAAAAAAGAAAGCAAACATTTAAGAAAATTATATTATCGAGATCCATTAACTTAAATTTTAAAATTTGAGAAATTTTATCAACTTTTACTTCCACATCTTTTTTTTTTTTTTTTTTTTTGGACTTTAAACTGCATATATCGCTAACAGACGAACCGAAAGATGGACCGACTTGCTTATACCGACTCGATATCAAGAAAATAATTCACTTAATGAATCATCTCGTGATTACTTATGAAATGAAAAAACGAATGAATGCAATGGTGGGTATAGAAAATTCCATTACGAATCTACTGATTTTTTAAAAAAAACTAAATGTGTCCTAAAATATAAAAACTATTATGATATTAAAATTGTAAAATTTTTTTAATTAAAAAGAAAATAAAATTAATATTAAAAATAAAATCAAAATAATTTTATGAAAAAATGAAAACCTAGTAAAATGAGATTTTTAAATGAAAAAAACAAAAAAAAATCTTAAAATAAAGAAAAATAACAAACACTCTGTGAAATACATGAAGCACTTGTATATGTAAAAAGTAAAAATTTTGATTAATTATAATTTTTTATTTTCTATTATTATATGTAAAATGCTCTAAATTTTTCTAAATTTAATGCATGTGTATGTGTGTCTGTTAACAACAATAATAACAATAATAATAACAAGAAAAAAAACAACAACAAATAAATTGTCTATATTATAGTTTTCAGTTTAATATAATTTTATTAAATATATATATATATATATATATATATATGTAAACTTTTAAAAATTTAACTATATATACAAATACAACAAAAACAAAGAAAAAAAAAAAAGAAAATTTAAAAATATTAAATTAAAAAAGAAAAAAAGAATAATAAAACAAAATAATAACGACAACAACAAGAACAACAAGTTACTTAAATAAATGTCTTGATTATCAAATCGGTTGAATTGTTGTTATTCTCGATTTTATTTCTCAAATTCAAGGACAATATACTTCACAAAATATCGCTGTAACGCTTCATGTGACGCTTAATGAATATCTTAAAATGCTTTACATCTAAATATTCAACTTGTTGTCCATTTGTGTCGTCATAGAGATTAGCCACTAAAGAATCCAAATAATGCCGAGAATCTTCAATCGAGACACTAAGGCCGATATTCAGGTTTTCTTTCGATTCGAGACGATGTAAACGATTACGTTTACGAAAACCTCCCGGCACCAAACAAATCGGTTTTATTGCCTCGGAAAAGCTGATATGATTTTTCAAAACGAGTATTACCAGTCCACGATAATCGTTTGCATTGGACTCATAGTAACTAATAATTGTAAAAAGAAAAGAAAAAATTTGAAATTCAATTATCCGATAGAACATAGGTTCGCTATACACATCGGATATTTAGGATTCGTTTGCAAGGTGCAAAGTAAATGTCTTTCGCTCTTGTTTTATGCTTACATTGAAATCTTTTCTAAATCATGTTTTCGTGTGGGAAGGACATCGCCCTCGTTATAAGTGAATTTGTAGAAGCCTTCTACCACATTGTACTGATTGGTCCGCATATCAACAGTTCGTTCATCACGGTTTAAACAATGCGCCACTGACATCGATGGATCGAAAAAGAGAACAGTAATATCATGTTAGAAAGTTATTCACTAAACATGAAAAAAAATCAAAGAAGAAGAAAAGCTAAATAACTGGAAGTCAAATGTTTTTCCTTTTTTTGCGAATCAATTCCTAAAGCAATCTTGACAAGTAGCAAGTGAACACATCTCTTATTCTATGCTCGAAGGAAAAAAAATGTCCGGTCTCTCTCTCTCTCTCTCCCACTTAACAGCTTGTGTAAAAATTTTTACTTTTTCTATTTAATTGTTTGTTTCTTTTTTTTGCTCTTTTTTCACTCTCATCCCTTTTGCCCCTCCAGCGATCAATCACTATTTCTTCTTTTTGCTTTTCTCTTTGATTTGATCTCTCTTTCACTTACCGGTGAGTACAATCCTATGCGATACAATTACACCGCTGCAAACAGGCGAATATTCGTTCATTGTTTTACGAAATACCGTAACATCCCACGGTCTCACTACTTTATCTTTGTCTTTTTCACCCAGTTCACCACAGATGGGAACACATTGAAATAACGGATGACTCCATTTACCGTTGCCTTTACAGGTAATAAAAGGTACATAGTTACGGCGGCGACGATATTTATAGCCAGGAGCACAAGAGATAAATGCTTGAGATTCTGGACTCAAAGTCTGATCACAACTGATATTCTGATTTTGATAGCTGCATGAGACCACTGTAGAAATGTGCGGCTGTAGGACACGACAACTACTTCCGTTATCGTAGTCATCGCTATCAAGAGATAAGTTGGGCGTAGTAGTCGTAGTAGTTGTTAAAGCATTGAAGGGTCGACTGGTAGTAGTAGTAGTAGTAGTGAAGGCATTATCATTGGCCCGCTTATGACATTTATCATTTTCTTCATCTGAGTTATCAGCACAGTCCATTACACCATCGCATTTAGCTGAACCAGACACACAAGCACCGTAACCGCAACGAAACGCGTAATCAGGGCATTCATAAAAACTGCATAATTCTTTCGTTTCATCACTACCGTCACTACAGTCGCGGTGACCATCGCAGATAAATTCAGTGCCAATACATTCCCCCGATTTGCATTGTAAAGAAAGTCTAGCACTAAAAATTGGAAGAAAAAGTCAAATAGAATTGAATCAACTATTCAAAGAAGGATACGAGAGACTTACTCATCGCATCGACCTCTTATCCTTTCTGATAGGTTATGTATGCTTTCTTTGCATAGCAGATCAATTTCATCTGAACCATCAACACAATCGTTTTTCTTATCACACTTGTAATTGCCTGATATGCAGGCGCCATAAGCACAACGGAAAGCATAGCCCGGGCACTTAAAATCGATACAGTGGCGTACGGTTTCATCTGAACCATCTTTGCAATGAACAGAACCATCACAAAGTTCATCTCTATTAATACGTTCTCCACTGTCACATACCCATTGACCCCACATTAAATAGGAATCATCTAAGCTTGCATCTAAAGACAAAAAAAAGAAAAATATATATAAAGAAGGAAAATACAACCTAAACACCTGTAATCGCTGTTTATTGATGTTTATTGTTTCGTAACGTTTCCTCTCTGAGATAATTTCTGATAGATTGCGTTCCTCTTGTCTCACCGAATAGGCAAATGTATTCTTAATCCCGCTGTGTCAGATTTGATAACCTGGAATGCTATTCCTCAAAGGCACTCATCATTGTGTTTTGCCTTTGGACTGTCTATAAAAATCTCTTCCTGGAAACAGGGACTTACCATTTCAGAAGTTATTGGTAGGGAGAGAAGTCGTCTGTTTGCAGACCTTCTATCGAGGCAATCAGTTGCTATCGAGGCTACAGTTTTGCAATAGGTGCTCCGACTTTCGTGGACTGATGCCTGCTGCTTGTACATTAAAATCCATATGGGAAAAGGTGCACGATAATGCACGAACCTCGTGCATATTCGGAATGCAAATCTAACTAGGACGCACGGAAAGCAAACGCGTAATGCGTTAGATTCTAAAACTGATGGTGCACGGGGGCGTAGTGCTGATCTCAGAACAAAGTCGTACGCATAAGGAGTAGCTATAGGCCATAGGCATGGTTCGTACGAAGACTTGAGAAAAAAGACTCACTGAATGTTTAGTGGCAAAGTGGGATTTTTGAAGTCGTGGTATTCACAAGTCGTCCGAAAGTTGCGAACAAAGTTTAGCTATTTGAGAAGATTTTAATTTATTTGATTCTTTGCCTAATAGGCTTCGAAGACGATAATAAGTAAACATTTTAAAGATAATTATGCCTTACACCAGTCGTGGTACAGGGTACATTAAGTTGTGCGGACGTATGTAACACGCAGAAGAGCGTGAATCGGATCCACCTTTTATTGTACTGAATATGAGACTGTTTATCCATCTGTCTGTCTGCACTGACGTGCTTTGACCCAAGAACGAAAGCCATTAAAAATGATTTGGATCGGTTCACTCTCTCGACCACTCCCCCTACAACGTCATATTTTTAAAGGTATGGAAATTTTATGGCAATGTTCAAAGTTTCTCGGGAAATGTCGCTGAGTAATATTATTTCGGTATTTCAAGCTGGTGCAAAAAATTTTATCGGTTGGGGAAATTTTTTTACCTCCCTGTCATCAGACGGCATTTATCTTTTTGAATCTCCTTATGGTAAGAATGTCTGTCGATTCGTAATAGTAAACTGGCCAAGAAATTAACTTTACCAAATTTGGACAACGTAAGTCTGCTTTTTGGATATCACAGGGGATTCTCAGGAAATGTAAACCCTTGTAAGCCGAAAACGCCCAATTATTAATGTTTTATGATGGAATATGGATTATGATAGTAAAAAGAATTAATTGGATCGAATTTCAACCACATGGGTCTATTTTTTGGACTAATCGCTTTTTTGGATTAGGAAAGATTTAGGAATTAACGATATGGAATTTTTATTAGATGAGACTATAATTTAGACCCCAACATGTATAGGGAGTATCATGCAAGGCGGGACCTTATATGTAGAGAAAGTCTAATTTCAAGTTTTTTCTGACGGAAACTGAAAAGTATTAAGATTTTTGCGAAGTAAATTCTGTTTGCTATATTTGGATCACGTCATGTGATGTCTTGGATATCATCCAATACGCGGACTTTCATGAAAAATATGCCTTTGCATAAGAATAATGTGGGTCTCTCAAGGTTCAGTATTCGCGAAATGAGTGAATAACTTTAGTCGGTGAAATGGCGTAGGGTAGGTTTTGCCCGACCATAATGTTTAATTTCTTACTTATTGACATATTTGCTTATTAAATGTAAAGGGGGATAAGGAGAGGTATTTGCATGCGTTTAATCATTTCAATCGTTAAAACGTAATTAAACTACAAATAACAATAAGACAAGTACTAGACGAACATCTCTGATTGAAGAGATGTAAAACAAGCTTTACTAACGCAACTAATTATTATAAAATTTTAATTAAAATTAAGTTGAAAAACTCTTTCTTCTTTATAACGTCAAGAGTATCTTCAAACCCCATTAAGCAGGAAATCAGTTCCTCAGTCGTTATACTATTGAAATATTAGGCCTGATGAGAACTTCTGTCCGTTCCAGCTCGAGGAAGTTACAATACAGCGAATATTTTTTGTTTCTCTCTTTTCATCAGTGAAGGTACACACAATTGCTTGGCAAACGAACCAAACCGAAGATGATTTATATTAGTGTTACGTGAGAAGGGATCGTGTCCCCATGGCACATGGCTGCATAAGGAAGCGTGAACACAATTATTAGAAGTGTTTGGTGAAGGTATAGTTTGTCACAGAACATGCAGAAGATGGTTCGAAAAATTTCAGACAAGTGATCTCGATCTTCCTGAAAAGTCGCACTCTGGGGGATATTGTCAGGATCGTGTTAGAGCAATTTTTTCTTAACAATAACGGAGATTGCAGGCAGACGGGTTCATTCAGCTCAACAAACCATTTTCGACCATATTTGAGAAGTAGAATTTTGTTTCATTCTAGAAATAGACGGAACTTTCCGGTACACCTATTAAATTGTTTTACTTTTTGCTTAACCAAAGGGGCAGTGGGCTTTTTACGGGCATTTCTTTTTCTTCTCTTCTAAACTTCTTTTTTATCATTTTCCATAATATACATTTTACGAAAAATTAACAAAATTAATTAAAGTTCTTAAAGTTTTATTATTTAGTATTATTTTATTTATTCTTTCTGGATGTATATGCAGAGGGAAAATGTAAACTTTGGCGAATCTTTCATTCAACTTATTCTCAATCAAATTTTTTCTTCATCCGGTTAGCTTTTGTCTCATTTAACCTTTAGCCAGTTTTTTCATTCAATGTTGAAAATCTTATTTTTGTTATTGTTATTATTTTTGATTTTATATAACCGCATAACCGTATAATACGGTAAACCTGGTGCTTACAAGAAAGCTTTTCTCAATTTGTTGAATATTCTCAGCACAGGGTGCAGCGAAACTTTATACACAAAGCTACAATTATGAGAGAACTTATAAGCAAATACAGTGAGTGTGTTGTGTCCAACACTTGGGTAATCAAACTTCTTTTACTGCAGCGAATCAATTAAGCCTTTGCAGACATGCTTAAAGCTGTAGAGTTTCATATCTGGTTTAGCAAGGATATCCTCTCTTCTCAATTTCTTTATAGTGTGAGAAGAAATATTTCAATAGTATTTTAAGAGGTCAAAAGGTGCTTTTATTGGGAAATCTATCAAAATTTTGACAACTTTTTATGGCAAAGTAGACATTTTTCGAGAAAGTTTTGTTTATTTCATAAAGAACGCCTGAGGGTTTCTTTTTTCTGTCTCATCTTGTGCGTTATTGAGAGAACATATTCCACTTACGCTTCGTTGAGTCACCCTGTTTCTCTACTCTTTTAAATTACTTTGCTTTTTAAGAGAAATGCAAATAAGGAAAGATTGCCTATGTGTCTCTCACTTAATATTAAACTACTTTAACAATTTCAAGTTTAGTCTTAGCAGAATATTCTTGAGTATGTCTATGATGCATGCGAAGAAAGTACCGTCATTTAGAGGTTAGAGAGCAAGGTATCATATTTCTAAAGATTAAAGATTCAACTCTAGCAAGATAAGCTTTAGTAGCACATTCGAAACATATGACCCGAAGAGAAAAGTTTTTAATTTCTTCACATTTACTACGCTATGCGCATCGAAGATTTAATAAAACGTACATATGTCTGCTTAATCAAGGGAACGCTTTAAAGCGGATTAGCTGCTTTTTGCTATCCGTTTTTAAACTTTTCAATAATGATTAAAATCGAATTTAGCATCAAGTTTATAAGATTTATTAATTTTTATATATTCCGCCAAAATAAAAAAAAAGAAATAAAGAAAAGAAAAGAAATGGAACTCAAGGTGAACATAGTTTTTAGTACATGAAGTAATATATGAAATTTAATCGCCTAAATTACAAATGATGAAAAAAAGAAATAACGTTTATATCCTCTTTCTAAGAATAATGATCCATGAAGGATTCAAAGGGATATAACATATGACATAATGTATTCGTGATTAAGGGAAGATTAGTCAACTTAATACTAATCGTTGGCCCGTCTGTCATTTCCTCTGTGTGTGTGTCGGTCCGTCTGTTGTTGGAACATATCTGAAGTCCACAAATCAGGCATCGGTATGGGCGTGAATTATCCACTCTGGACATATAAATTTGATTTCTAAACTACAACCTAGGCTTTCTTTCCACATAAACGGTTAATTGCATGATTTTTCTACCAAATCCCAATTTTGTGCGTTTAATAACAAAGTCAATTCGCTAGTTCCTTATGAAGGATTGAAAATTAGATCTTTTTACCATAACAAGAATGTTAAGTAGACGAACAAGTAGTCCGGTGCAAACCATTTTCAATAGCATTCGTTTTTGGGCTAAAAGAGACACCAGTTGTACAGACAGACGCAAAACGATTGTGAATTTTTCGCTTTAATGTTTTAACATCTTCTGAATGTTATGTACATCCTACGCCACAAGCAGGTGTATAATAATAACGAATTTGTAAAACGAAAAAGTAAAATTTACTCTTTTTTTTTCTTTATTTCTCCTTGGCGTTCTCGCTTAAAAACGACTCACCCATGGGCCAAAACGCGTCAGTGTACCGAATTTCATCATAATATCTAAAAAATTGCGGCCTATAGAGGTTAAAGATAAAATAAGATTACATAGAAGATGGAGAGGCAGTAGGCGGGCAAATAGACTGACAGACAGAGAAGCTGCCAACGATTCAGAATCATATTCGTATTCTAAATCGTACAGTATAATAAAAGGTGGATCTGTCTAAAGTCCTTCTGGGTGTTACAACCATACACATAAAGTTAATATACCTTGTACCGCAAGTGATGTCGGATACGATCATTCGTTTTTGGACCAAAGTACGTCAGCGCATCAAATTTCACAAAATATCTTAAAAAGTTGTGACCTTTAGTTTGTAAACACAACAAGACGGACGGATTGACTGACGTGGACAGACAAATTTGGATCGATTCAGAAACAGGGAAGATCCGTCTTAATTACTTCTGGGTATTATCTTCGCTCCCCCGCAAACTTAATATACTCCGTACCATAAGTGATCTAGAGATAAGCTTTAGATGTGATGGGAACTTTGCGCTGCGACTAAAATGTTCTTTTGTTCCGTATTTTTTACATAATTGCGATAAGAAAAAGTAGTTTTTAACCATCATTAAGAAAATTTTCTTTTCTTTCGTTCTAAAACATTACGTGACATGACACAGGTTTCACTCAGATTATGCAGAAGTAACATAAGGATTTAAATGCTGATAGTGTTCGGTTAATATGTTTGTTGTATTTCCCCCGTATTTGACTTCATATGTGTTACGAGAGAAGATCGAGTTATTTATTGGACTTGGATAGGTCTGTAAAAAAATGTTATATTATTTGCTTGTTCTTTATAATGTGATGGTAACGTGAAGGTTGAAAGTTATGGAAGATTTCATATGAACGCAACAAAAGGAACATAAAAAGTTTATTATTTTCAGTTGCTTCGAAAGGCATGAACGGGTTTCTTTTTTATTATCTCATAGTTTACTTCGACTCAAAGAGCGAGAGAGATGACAAATTTATATACCGCGAATCAACGACAACAATAGCAAGAATAATAAAAAAAAAACCCCAAAAAAAAACAAAAAAGCAATTTAATAAAATCATGACTTTGCGGTGCTTTTGATCTTTACTTTATAAACATCTCGGTTGAAAGGGATTCCCTTTTTTTGATTTTAAATCAAATTATTCATAAACCCATTTTTACCCTGATTTGAGTGTGCACACTTTAATCTCTCCTTGCATGATTTTTGATTAGATTAGATGAAAAAATTTGCAAAAACATCCGCATCAGTAGCCGAGTAGATAAGAATCGCTTCTATGTGAGGTCTGTGTTCGCGGTTTCAAATCTCAATGCGGTAGAGCTTACTTGGTTCGTAGTTATAGTAGCGAGTGCTCAACCGGTAAAGGCTTTACCGATTAGTCACACAGCCACACGTAGGTGCACCGCGCTGCGGAAGCCTTCCTATATTCTCCTCATTCCTCACTTGTTTTCAAACCTGTGTCATTGCACTACATACACACGGGACATCCCTTGAGTGTTTGGTCATATAATAAAAAACAAGTAAAAACATTGTAGTCGGACTAAGCGGACTATTGAATACCCTACACCACAAAAATTACACTTTGTTTATACCCTACACCAATCGCGGTACGAGCTATATTGAGTTAGTTCGGACGTATGTAACACGCAGAAGGGCTTAAGATAGATCCACCTTTTATAATACCTCGGCTGATTGAGAAAATGATTCTGAGATCAAATCTGCTTGTCTGTCCGTCTGATATCTGTATATGCATTTTTTTGTTCAAGCTACAGGCCGCAATTTTTGAGATATTTTGATGAAATTTGATATAGTAACGTGTTCTGGCCGAAGGACGAACGCTCTTGATAATAGTTCAGATCGGCCCAACTTTTTCGATCATTTCCCATATAAAGCCCTATTCTGAAAAGTCGTTATGTGGAAAAAATTTTAATTTTCAAAATTTCTCGGAAAAAGTGTCTAGTGCAAGTAATAGTATATCGGCGTTCTTAATTGATAAAAAAACTGAACCCCCCTTTGAACCCCCTTTTATGTAACGAAAAGTGAAGTCCGTACGACAAAAAGGTATAATTTTCAATGCTTCATTAAGGAAATTATATCATAATAAAAAGTAACCATCCCAAATTTGGACCCTCCTGGCCTATTTTTTGGACCCATAATAGTAGTTTTATTATAATAATGTGAATTGTGTTAGACAACGTGGGGTAGGGTATTTGACGACCGGCCTTGCCTGACTGCAATGCTCTTACTTGTTTTCTAAAGACATCTTATGTTGATTTAATATAAATAAAAATTCTCGCACATCCGTTATAGTATAGTTACTTGAGAATTGAATTATGTAATAAATTAATTCTCCTTTTTTTCTTCATTCAAAACTTACAATTTTCTTTAATACTTTGTTTTATTATTAACACTAAAATGAATTGTAATTTAATCAACATGACGATGACGTTTACGATCAATATTAGTTTTAATTAATATAAGCGATTTTTTTTTTTTAACTTATTGTTTATTTTGTCCGATGCTAAGAACACTAATCACTAAGTTCTGTAACGTTACTACGTAAAGACTGTTAGGAATCATTGAATTGCAAGCAAAATTTTAAAAAAATCTTACACATTTTCAATAAATATTATCTCTTCTTTTCTCTTTTTAAGCGAATAAGAGAGTATTCTGTCTTCATCGTTTTTAATTAATCTTCTCTTTAAAACAACGAATGCTTAGTTAATGCTCAAATCGGACAGTAACGGAAATTAAATCTACTTTCCTTAAGAGGGTAAGACGCTATAAATTTTTCAAAAAAAAAAAACATTTTTTTTTTGCTTACTTCGTGCTTTGGACTTTCTAGAATACTTGGGAAGATATTCATTACCCATAAGAAATTTGTTTTTTGAAAATTGAAAGATACAAAGCTACTGTTGCTTACTCCCTTAGACAAGAAAGTTCGCTTTAAAGCAAGACTTTCGAATTGACATGAATAAAGTCACGGCTTCGTTTAATACAGTTATTCATATAAGGATTTTTCAAAATATTTCTCATAAGGGAATTGGTCGAAAAAGTTGTATCCATCCGAACCTTTTTTAACAGCGTTCGTTGCCGTTGCATCAAAGAATGTTGCTACAGCAAATTTCGGCGAAATATCTCAAAAATTGCCCTCCATAAGTTAGACGCACGGAAACGGACGGATATGCGGAGGGACGGACACTTCGCTTAGCCGGAGTTTAGAACGATTCAGAAACACTTTCATTCTATTAAAAAGTGAGTCTAGTCCAAATCCTTCGTTGTGCTGCAGTTTGTGCGGGTGTACAAACTTACCAAAGCTAAACTTGCGTTTTTCATTGTTCTTATGTCGTAATGATTCATAATTTTTTGCTTCTTATTTGATAAAACGGTTACTCCCCGACGGTAAAGATTTCAAATTCCTGGATGAAAAATTGAATCAAGTGATTTTCACAGGCATCTTGTAAAAGTATCATTGTGTCATTAAGACAGCTTTGCAAAAAATGAAATAAGGCAAAGTCTGTACTACACGATAAATGCATTGAAATTTCCTTGCTGAAGGGTGCAATTTTTGGCGAGTTATTGAAGATGTGTCCGCTCCGGCATTGCCATGATGGGAAACCGTGCTTTTTTTTAGTCGCATTAGCGATTAATAGATATAAGAGTGGAAGCAATTGTTTAGCCAGATTGAATTGAACTCTGAGGGCACAACCCCCCTTCAATTCCTAAACCAAACGCAATGTGCTGTCGATTCGCCGCAAGCGTCGCGAACTTTTTCACAAGTCCGGATCGAACTAATTTCCGAGGTTTGGCAATTTAGCTTTATGTTGCAGTCACATGCTTACTCAAACAGACAGTGGACGTCATCGAATGCGATAAGAGCTGAATATTCTATATATACATATATATATATATATATATTGTTTTCTAAATTCATGGTTTGTTTGAATGTTGTGCTCAGAATAATTAAAAAAATTTTCAGGCGATCTATGTGTGCATAAAAAGTGCTAACGGAATTGTAGACGTTTAAAAAGAAAACACTTTCTCTTATTTATCCATTTTTTTTGTAACAGGAAAGTAAAAAAAAGGACAAACGAATTTTGTATATTTTTTAAAAAAATTATTATTAACTTTTATTTATTAATTTTTTATTCAGTTAGCAGTAAGAAAACAATTCTACACATCTAAAATAACGCTTTATCGTCTTGCTTGAACTTAAGCATTTTCTGCATCACTACGTCGCTCATATAATTGACATTCGTCACTGTTACAAATCCATCGCGAGCGCATTCGACATTACTGAAGGGTGTATAACTAATAATGCCCAATAATTCGTGACGTCTTGTATTTAAATTATAAATTACAAAACCTCCGCCGCTGTCGCCACGACATACGGTCGCGTCGCCTTCGTTTTGCAAGCAAAATTTATCATTAGCTAAAGACGATTGCGGATGCCTTGATTGGCATGCATGGTAGGATAGCGATTTCATAGGAACCCGTTGTAAAACTTTATTGTCAGCACTAGCATAGCCCACAACTGAACCAACCTGATTACTCGTGATATAACGATCGGCGCCGGCTTCAATCTTTAAACAGACAGCCGATATGTTTTGATTAAAGACAAAGTGATCCTTTAATTTAACAACGGCAATATCTCCAAGGAAATTGTCCTTGTCGTGGCTGAAGCTTTAATATAACAAGATAAGATAAGGAAAGAAAAGAAAAGAAAAGAAAAAAGAAAGTGGACGGCTTATTAAATCAATTAGGACCAAGGGCCATATAAATCTAAAAATTAATCAATAAATAAAAAAATCTATCTGTCTTGCATTTTATCTAACTTCTGCATCTCTCTCTCGCTCTCTTTTCCCTTTGTCCTCGTCTCTCTTTCTACCCGTTTTGTGCACTTTGGCTCTTACTTAAACAAGTGGCTCGACTTCTCTTTACATTCCTCCATAATTATATTCTTTTCTTTTTGTTTTTCTTCATTAAACCCTATTCCACCTTCTTCTTTTTCCATTTCTCTTTTTATGCCTTTCTTTTTCTTATATGCTTTACCTTGAAGGGATCACAATTTCAGCTACATCTGCAGTTTGGGCAGTTGGATCCTTAGTCATATCGTAGTCGCGGTAATATTTACCGGCAGCCACCTTAAAGAAGTCAACGTGCATTTTGTCTTCTACGACGGCATCCCAAAAGCAATGAGCAGCTGCATGAAAAGTGTTGAAAGCCCGTTGAATCTTTAATTCTAATTAAGATTAAATATCGTGTCATACATACCGGTCACTATAACGCTTGGCGATATAATGGACCCACCACAAATGAATTTATAATTCACCTTATCTGGTTTTTGATAAATGGCCACTTGCCAGGGTACCTCGCTTTTCTCAACCGGCAGTCCTCGGGTCGTTAATTGTGTATTCCGCCGCAGAATTCCGCACTCAACATCACAAGTGGGACGTTCCGCGGTGAACTGACCATCAGATGTGCACCGCATTAGTGGTGAATTATTACCGAAACCTTGGTAGCCGATGTTACACCTAATAATTACCTCAGTATTTGGTTGAACACGTTGACACTGTCGGGCGCTCATAGCGTTATTAATGCAGACATGAAATGTGGATAAACCGCGTAATGAGTTACCGTCACAATATTCTTGAAAAAGGGAAGATTTATAAGGAACAAGTGGAAGGATTTGGTTTCTTTTAACTCACGAGCACATGTAGGAAACACTCCCGTCCATTTGCCGTTTTGACAATTTAGGCTCGCATCGTTTAGTATGCGATAACCGTTCGAACACTCTAAGTGAACGGTTTCATAATTTTTTACCCAACTACCTAAAGATACGGTCCGATTCTGCGGATGCAAATAAGCCACAAGATGGGGACTATTTTCTGGTAATTGACAATTGTTATCATTGCTCGATTCCGTTGGCTGCTCCTTAACTTTATCCACTAATCTGGGAAAGCCACATAGCTCCCAAGCTTCGTCGGAACCATCGGCACACTCCTTGATGCCGTTACATTTCGCATTGCCATTGATACAAGCACCGTAGCCACAATGAAATGCTATTTCAGGGCAATCGAAACCAACACAAAGCTCCAAAGTTTCATCCGAACCATCACTGCAATCTTTTGCTCCATCACATATACTATACTTGCTGATGCATTCCTTTGATTGTGAGCATTGAAAGTCATTGTCACTGCGATATGCGAAACGAACATGTGATGGTTGGAATGTGATGACAAAACAAAACTAAAAAGTACAAACCTTTTACAAGTCCCTTGAAGATTATCAAATTTCTTGGTATCGCAGATCAGCTCATCTGAATTGTCTGCGCAATCTTTACGTCCATTGCAACGATAACCGCCGGTAATGCAGGCGCCGTAGGCGCATTTGAAAGCAAACGCATGACAGGTAGAATAGCTTTGTATACAATTTTCGGCTATTTCGTCTGAGCGATCCTGACAATCAACTACACCATCGCATCGCGCATCTTCCGATATACACTGACCGTTATTGCAATCCCATTCAAACGCCCCACAACGCTGTTGTGCTATAACTAAGAGCAGAGGGAAGAGAGTTTTCGTAAATAATTGCTCTCCCTTAGACGCCGGTTTGTTTTGATTAAAACTTTAAGTCTGGCAATATGAACATTCTGGATTTTACACAAAAGAAAAAACTTTGTGTTTTTTTTGTTTTTTTTTGTTTTTATACATCAAGAAGAAAATACAAACTAAAGCAAAGCATTTCAGTCTTTAGAACTTTCCTTTTTTGTTTACTATGGCTTATCACTTGCCTTCGTTAACGAAGAGAGTTTTTATTAGAACGCTCCATATTCCAAAATAAACGATATTAAGCTTGTAACCTGACATTATACCCACTTTGTTAACAGAAGAATTAATATTTATGATAAATTAGTTTTATGCGTTTCTTGGAAATTGTTATTAAAATTTCTCACTCAATAATTCATAACTAAACACTAAGCACTTAATTAAAGCAACGTTAACGTGAGACTAAAACATTCAAATTCAAGATTGAAAGTTTGTCTACATCTTATCGTTCTTGCTTGTTGTGACCGACCGGATTTCATAGTCTCAGTTAGGAAAGAGAATGAAATTTGAAGAGAAGATTGGAAAGTTTTTGAATATGCTGAGAACAACAGCACTACGAGACTCTTAAAGACTTTTAATTAAGTCGGTTAGCTAACTGGCACAGTAATTGGAATAAATAAAAATAGTAAGCAAGACGATTGCATTTAGTAAAGACGCGGACTGACTCCCGATGAGATTAAAATATCAAATAATAAACAAAATTCCATGTTTGAACTTAAATGTGATAAAATGATGATGAAAAAAAAAACAAGTTGCTTGAATGGACTCAGACTTTCTTTCATTTAAATTTGCCTCCCTAAAGAAAGCGCGTCATGTAGGCTGGCGACTACATCTATAAAAGAAGTATGAGATTCATTTGGAATACAGATGAAAATCTTGTGGTCGTTAAGCAATTTTAATAGATCGAAGAAAATCTAGCTGACGTTTCTTTTGCCACATCTCGGACCGAAAACTTTTACTCCATTGCATTCTGCTAATCCATGTAGTATGCAAATACCAAGCTTCTTTTTCGATCCAGTCTTATGCAGAGGATTCAAAACTGAATTGTTTTGCTCAACGCTTAACTTCACAGCCTCTTTGTGTGTTGAATTGAGTTGGTCTTTTCCAATTTTGGAAAGAATTTTTTCGACTTCCCATCAATTCCGTTCTGCTGGTTCATGTGGTATCCAAGTATCGGTCCTCTTTTTCGATCTAGTCTTGTGTAAAGGTTTCAAATCTGTTATTTTGCTCAACGCTTAACTTTACAACCCCTATGTAGGTTGACCTTGAGTTGGTCTTTTTCAATTTTGGAAAGAATTTTTTCGACTTCCCATCAATTCTCTATGTGTGTTGACCTTGAATTGGTCCTTTTCAATTTTGGAAAGCATGTAGTCGACGTTATTCTTTAAACTGGAAAGGGAATTTGCGAAATTTGCCCGCTGCGCCATTTTGATAAAAAATCTCCTTTATAAACAATGCGGGCTTTTCCACAAGCCTCCGGAGCGGTATGATCGCACGATTCTTTTAGATGTTTAATCGGCTTTCACAGGGCGTATTGTTTTAGCACATGCTGCACATGCTTCTCATTTTACTTTTCGATAGACTGTTAGCTTTCAAGCGCATTAGAGTAAGTTTTAATGCGATTAATATTATGAAAGTTATGCGTCTCTAAACGGACCGTTTTCCATTCCTTATTTTCAATTTTCAAATTTTGTATTAAAAGAAAAATTATGCAGTTTACAAAATTGCTCGACAAAAGTCGTTGAGCAATAGTATGGCAGCATTCTAAATTGATTTGAAAACTTTGGATCCTTTTGAATCCTCTTCCTACCACTCCAACGAAAATTGAATGTTCGTTCGCAAAAATGGTCGAAATATCTTACTGCTTAATGTAAGTTTGTTCATAAAAATGACATAGAAATTAGCTTTACCCTATTTGGATTTTGTGTGTTTTTCGATTCCTCTCATATAGAAGGTTTCTCATGGCAAATATATCCAATTTTTCAAGTTTTATGATGCAAATTAATTCACAAAAATCACTTATAGTATGAGGCTGAACTGAATAAAATTTTTATCAAGTACGTCTACGTACGTAACATTTTAAAAAGTCCAAAATTTTGGATATTTTTTGGTGAACAAATGTCCATGGGTGTATTATATGCGTCTCATTCCGTAAAAGGAATCTTATGTGTAGTAAGATCTTTTACAAAAGGATTTACTTTGTAAAGTTTTGTGATGACAATTGGTCCTTAGTAACCGTAGGAATTTTGGATCACATAGTTCTACATTTTACGCTTTCTTTCTTTCTTTCTAATGTCTTCTAAGCGAATAATTATTGAATAGTTGCGAAACTTTTCCCACTGAGCTATTGGAAAATCTATAGTGGATATATCGGTGAACAATTTTCTTGTCCGTCAGGTATTCGCTATTTATCTAAAACTTTTGTAATCTCTTTTTAAATTTGCACTCATTAGAATGCGTAGTCTTATCGTTGATAAGTTTACTTTTTTGAGAAAGCTTAACATTTTTCATATACATCTTCGTGTTGTGCGCTCGCTGCATTGAAGGTTTTCAAGTTAGACTTCATCGATTACACTTATTTAAATCATTTGACTATTGCCTGTCTCGTATTCTCAAATGTCAAGTATGTTCCCATACAATAATTAATAAGCTCGAACAAAATATTTTCCGTAATTAAATACGCATTACTTTTTAAGGAATATTTGAAATTAACGCCACAAATATTCAATTAAATATCTTGTGTTTATTTCACTTGTATTATAAGACGGAATATATCGCCTGCAACATTCACTCAACAAAGTTATTCAGCTTTAGATAACAGTCTTCGATGTAAGCAAATGCTATCAAAGAGGGCAAGAGAGCGAAAATTATTCAAACGAGCCTAACTACTAAACTTTGTCCGACATCTTCTGTGAGGCTATGCACTATGAACATGGATGTGGCTACATTACCGCCATAGTAAAGAGTCTTGTCTACTCTTGTGGGTGCCATTCTTTAAGCAATCATAATATAACGTTCCTGATACAATACATATTTGAATACAAGTCTGTTGGTATTTAATCACTGATTGCTTTGTATGCAAGCAATTAACGATTGGTTGGTTGGCTTACAAAAGTTAAGTTAGTTTGCATGCGTGCAAATATAAACAAGTCGTCCCAAAATATCACACTGTTTGCGAGGTTTTCACGCATTATCTAGGGACCACTCGCATTGTAATTGTTCGTAATTAGAGCAATACTTTGAGACGACTAATTTATGCTCTCTGGTGCACAATACCTTGCTGTGCTTAAAAACTTCACAATTAAAAAAAAAGAACAATTACGTGACTACAATAGCCTTAGTTAAAGTCCGTAGTTGACATTTAAAAATATTTACCGCTCATGCACAAATTTAAAGGCAATGACTGCAGAGCTAAAACAACTTGAAAATGCTCGAAATGAAATACCAAAGTTTTACACCTTGTTTTCAAATACAGTTATCGTTCTTATGCGAGCCATTGCATGGGAAACATTGGCTGACGTAATAGAATGACGTAGAATGAGTATTCTTCCTAATCTATGTTCATCGCAAAGGACTTAAAAATTGTCGAAGTGAAGATAGTTCACACTTTTCGGAGGTTCGTGTCTTCGCTAAGGTAGGACTTACTGCCAAATAAAGAAAGCAAGGAAAGGATGTGAGGATAAATTCGAACTCAGCGAGGAAAGACACTTATGGATTCCTTTAATGATGCTTTATAACCATCCTTATGGCAGCTTTTTTCTTTCGTATTTGCGTACTAAAAACATTTGGTAAATATAGTTCAGAAAAGTAGAATTTGAATTTGTTTAGCTTGTTTTGAAAGGTATTTTCATACAGAAGCATCGTACGTTTTCTAATGTGAACAGACTATGCCTTCACATCTAAACATATCTTGGCTATCGTAACTACCTAACAGAGGTCTGTCAAAACTTTTACAGACCTTTGTTCAAATAGTTGGGTAAGTGTCTTTGTTAGTTAAATTCGAATTTATCATCATAGGGATCTCCTAAATATGGGGTGGTGATCCAGGTGTCGCCTGGTTAATTTGCTAAATATCAGTTTTGGTCTTGGCAAATAAAAGCTTATTTTTCATTATAGGCCTTAAATGCGATACGATCATTATAATAAGTCCACATGATCTAAATTTGGTAAGATTAGTTTTTATGTCAAATTATTGTTCTGAAAGAGTTTTCGTCAGGCAAGAATGAATATTAGATTTTTTAAATCATATAAAGATTCAGTTTCCGTAGGAACGGTTATATGAGAGGGGATTGAAATGAGTGCTCAATTCTATGCAAACTTTTTTCAATCGCACGGACGGACAGGTGGAAATATTTAATTCGATTTAGAACTTTATGCTGGTCAAGAATATATATATAGTTTTTAGGATCTATAAAGCTTCCCTCTGCGCGTTGCAAACGTTTTGACAAAACGAATATATCCCTCGCCCTTTGTTGCGGACAGTGATAACCATATAGTGATAAAATCCCCCTGCGATAATATAGACGTACGTATGGCTTTCAATTTGATGCAATTTTATTAAATAGACATAAAAACTTTCAAAAATTTATCTTTATTTACATAAACGACAATAAAAAAAAGGACATTAAAATATATTTCAAAAAATTGCACGGAATAACAACAAAAACAAACACAAATTCGCCTAGCTGCTTCGTACTGTGTCACTGTAACGTTCTATTTGACGTTTAATGAAGCTATCAAAATATTGTATACATAAATGCTCAACTTGTAGTCCATTGTTGTCGTCGTAGACATTAGCGACTAAAGAGACCAAGTAATGCCGAGAATCTTCAATCGAGACACTAAGGCCGAGATTCAGATTTTCTGTCGATTCTGCGCGATGTAGCCGATTGTGTATACGAGAACGTGCCGACTCCAAACAAATTGGTTTTATTGCATCCGAAAAGCTAATATGATCTTTCAAAGCGAGTATTACAAGTCCACGATAATCGCCCGAATTGGATTCATGGTAACTGGGAATTGCAAAGGAAAAAAATAAGAACATTATAGTCGGGCAAGGCCAAGCATTAGATATCCTGCACCACTTCGTCTAAGACACCAAAAATTATGCATTATCTCCATGCAAAGGTATACTTTTCATGAAAGCCCGCATAATGGACTACGTCACGTGATTAATATATAGCAAACTTAACTCATTTTTCAGTCTCCGTTATAAAGAACTAGAAATTAGCCTCTCTCTCTCTCTCTCTCTCTCTCTCTCTCTCTATGTACGGACTTGTTGTTCATTATAACCCTTACATAGATTGTGGCCTAAAAAATTAA